GGCGAGGGCGCCCAGGGCCCCAGGCACTGGTCAGCTGCCGGCAGAAGGTGTGGGTGCAGCGAGCCCTGGCCCTCCGCGCGGGCACGCCGGGCTTCCTTCGGAACAGCAGGGCTCAGCCTCGCCCCCTGCCGGCGGCCCAGGCTGCCCACTCTGTGTTTACCCGGGTTGTTTGGAGCGTTACCCGGAGGGACCAGTGGGCTGACGGGCACCGCGCTGCTTTGGGACCTTTTAGGCCCAAGTTATAACCTGGCACTTAAAAGGAACTGTGTTCTGTGCCAGGAGCAGTGCAAAAGCTGCAGCCTTATTTGGTCTGGAAACTTCTTTGCTTGGACGAAAAGCGGACTAAGTAAGCAGGCTTCTCATCCGGGCGGGCAGATTTTTAATTGTGCTGGGGATGGGGCGTCCGGTCCGAGGATCCTTCTGTTGGTGGCCGCCCGGCCGGCTGGCCGGCCCTGCCCTCAGCGGCCAGCGAGCTGTCCTGGTGTGCGGCTTTATTGAAGGTGTGATGGTCACGCCGTGAACGTGAACTCTGCCAGCTGTCCCCCCACCCAACTCCCTCGTACCCGTTTGTAGTTATCAGGCCCGGAAGTTCCCCTCCGGCCTTAGTTTGCTGAGAGTTTTTGTTTATTTACTTGTTTATGAAATTGTAAAAAAAAAAATGTGTTATTTTTGGGAGAGTGCCAGCGGGGGAGGGTCAGAGAGAGAGGGGGACACAGAATCGGAAGCAGGCTCCGGGCTCCGAGCCATCAGCGCAGAGCCCGACGCGGGGCTTGAACTCACGGACCGTGAGATCGTGACCCGAGCCGGAGTCGGACGCTCAACCGACTGAACCACCCAGGCGCCCCACGTTTATACATTTTTTTGTTTTTTAAATCATGAATAGACTTGGGACTTCATCGTATGCTTTTTCTGTGCCTGTTGAGATGGGGTTTGTCCTCGGTTGTATGAATATGGCATTAGTTGATTTTTGCGTGTCAGATCAGCCTTGAACTCCTGGATGAATCCCGCCTGGCCACGGTGTTTAGTTTATGTCTATGTTGTCAAGACGGGTAGGTGACCAAGGAATATTTGGAAACTACCGTTTTGGGACCTGCTCCAGATCACAAGTGACTGTCCTTCTATGGGGCAGCCACGGTTGGGTTCTTTTCGCGAAACGAGACAGAGAAGTCGGGACCTGGAGGCACAGACGCGCCCAAGGGTCCCCCCACGGAACGCAGCGCCCAGACCGTCCTCCGTTGTGACGCCCCTCACGTTAGCCCTCACCCGGAGCGTGGCATCAGCAGGCAGGGTGGTCCCGGCCCGGCTGGCCTGTCACCTCTTGGGGTAGACGGCAGCGGGCCCCCACGTAAGGCCGTGCAGGGCGGGCTTTAGGGGCGAGTTGGGGGCTGCAGCTCTGGTGCCTGCTGGTCAAGTCACGTACACGGGCTGTCGCCACTCGGAGGAAGGGGTGCCAGCTCCTGGTTTGCACAGCGCTGCCGCGGAGGCTGCTGGCGGCCCTGGCTGTGGGCAGGGGTGTGGGTGCCGGGCTGGGATCACACCGCCAACCCTGCACAGGGAATTTCTGGTCTGTCCTCGTGTCTTTCGCACTCTTTCCTCGCGTGGAGAGGACAGAGCCTGTGGCTTCCTCCTTCCCGCCTTCCTCCCCCGCTCCCCGCCCTTAGGCCCCGGCAGACCCCATCCAGAGTGCGAGCTCGCTCTCTAAATGTTCGGGAAAACGCCTAGATGCCGGTGGCCAGCGCGTCGTGGGGCAGGGTCCCGGGAGCCGCAGTGGTCCTGCCCCTCGCTCCCACCGTGCGGCCGCTCAGCTGTGCTCCGGGCGAGGCCTCCGCCAAGGACTCTATCGGTGGGGCAGCGGGGCTCTCAGGCCTCGCCGGGGGCGCCCCCAGCCCCGTCACAGAGGGCGGCCCGTGTTGCAGGAGGCCGAGGTGACATGGCTGGTTTATGCCGAGAGGCACCGCCCCCCACCCCCGTCTCTGAGCCGGTGGAGAAAGTTTTAAAAACACAGAGCCACACTCGAAAGAAGATAAACATCCGTGTTTTTTCCAGGCACCAAGCAGGGCGGTCAGCGGCGTGGACGCTGTGGGCCCGCGAGGTACCTGGTGTGGTGAGAAGCAGGAGGCGCTTTGCCGTGGGTGACGGGGACCGCAAAAGGGCCGATTCTGAGCTGGGATCGGAGCCAGGTTCACACTGAACCTGGCAGCTGGGACGGGACTCCCCGATTCATCACAGGAAGAAAGGCTGTTCCCCTTACTACAGCCGCGTAATAAATTGACCCGAAACTGTCGTATAAAACGACCAGTTACCACGCTCGTGGGTTCTGGGCACGGGCAGATTGACTAGCCCTTCTGTCCCCCAGAGCTGCCGCGGGGTCAGGCTGACGGCCCTGGTCTCCAGCCAGCTCCCCCTGAGCCCACCCTGCTTCCCCTCCGTCTTCTCCCCAGTGGCCTCTCCCAATAAACCCCACGCCCTGGAGTTCCGTCTCGGGCTCGTGTCCCGCAAACTGGGCCTGAGCCGCTGTGCGCCCAGCCTCGGGGCTCCCCGCTGACGATCGGCTTTGCTGTCTGCCCCCAACGCCGAGCGAAGAACTACTCACATCTTCCCTGGGATATTCAAGACGCATCTCGAACCCAGCGTGTCCGAATCCGTGCGGCCTCATCTGTCAGCCCCTCGGTGGTCGGGTGAATGGTGACCCCTGAAAGATACGTCCACGTCCTAATACCCAGAACCTGGGGATGTGATCTTACCTGGAGAAAGGGTCTGCAGGGGTAATGAAGGATCTCGAGAGATCATCCTGGAGGCCGGTGGGCCCTCGACCCAGCGAGAGGTGTCCTTGTAAGAGATGCACAGAGGACAGACACAGGAGAGGAGGGGATGACCGTGTGAAGTTGAAGGCAGGGTCCCCAGAAGCTGGAAAAGGCAGGAAGGACACCCCCCCCACAACCCCCTGCAGAGCCTTTGGAGGGGGCGTGCCCACACCTTTGGATTGCGGAAGCCAGGAACAAAGGAATTACTGTTGTTTTTAGCCTCCCGGTACAGCTGCCCCAGGACACTCACACGGCCTCCAGATCTGGAACCTCATCCTCCAGATCCCCCAAATTCTTGCAGTCATCCTGTCCCCCCTCTTTCTCCCACACTCCACACCCGTCTGCCAGCAGCTCCTCTTTGCTAGGCCTTC